CTTCATGACCCCATTTAGGGTTTTCTTGGCAAAGTGGTTTGCCATTTCCTTCTTCAGCTCATTTTACAGATTGAGGAAACAGACAAACAGGGTTAAATGACTTACCCAGGGTCACACAGCTAGAAAGTGTCTGAGGCCAGATTTGAACTTAGGAAGATGAGTCTTCCTGACTCCAGGCTTGGCACTCTGTGCACTATGGCGACACCTAGCTGCTCTATCTTCCAGGAATAGGGAGGTTATAGTCCCATTGTGTCCTATGCTGACTCTAACTGGAGCACTGTGTTCAGTACCGGGAACCACAGGTTAAGAAGGGCATCGACAAATTGGAGACTACCCAGAAGAGAGCAACCAGGGCAGTGGAGGGCCTTGAGTCTATAGACATAACCTATTTGAGCTTATTCCTCAATGATTAACAAACTCTCAACTGGTTATAACCTCCCCATCCCAGTTACTCTAATGTCTGGCTGTCAGTATTGAACTTATTCTCTGTCCACCACTGCCAACTTCCTTATTCCCATCTTCTTCAAGATCTCCCCTGTGTCCCACTCTATAGCTACCAACCCTTTATACTGTACTTTCTGGAATGTTTGCCCAGTCCTGTCAATTTTGCATTCAAAACGTCTTTTCTACGTGTTTTCTTTCTCTCCTTTGACCCTGCCATCACACTAATGCAAGCCCTGGTCACCTCATGCCTGACTATAACAATAGTCCTCTGTCTGGTCTCCTTGCTTCAAGTTTCTTCCTATTCCAGTCTATCCTCTGCTTAGCTGTCAAATTGATTTTTCCAAAAAAGCAGGTCTGATCACGTTCCTTCCTCTCATTAATAAGCTTCGGGTGATCCCTATCACCTGTATGATCAAATGTAAAATCCTCTTTTGGCACTGAAAGTTCTTCATAACTTGTCTCCCTCTCCCCCCACCTTTCCAATCTTCTTACACTTGACTCATACCCATATACTCTGCAATCCAATGACACTAGCCTCCTTACTGTTCCTTGAAGAAGATAGCACATCTTCCAACTCTGTGTATTTTTGTGAGTTGTACCCCACTCCTGGAATTCTCTCCTTCCTCATCTTTGCCTCTTGGCTTCTGTGGCTTCCCTCCAGTCCCAACTAAAACCCACACCTTGTACATGAAGCCTTTCCTGATCCCCCTTAATGTTGATGCCTTCCCTCTCTTGATTATCTCTAATCTATCTTGCATATACATAGTTGTTTGCATAGAAACCCATCAAGAACAGAGAATTTATTTTGCCTTTCTTTTTATCCCCAGTGCTTAGCACAATGCTGGCACATATTAGGAGCTTAATAAATGCTTTTAAAAATTATTTTTATTTACTTTTAGTTTTCAACATTCACTTCCACAAGATTTTGAGTTCTGAATTTTCTCCCCATCCCATCCCTTCCCCTGCCCCAAGATGGTATGCATTCTGTATACCCTTCCCTAACCTGCACTCCCTTCTATCTCACCCCCCGCCCTTTTCTTATCCCCTTCCCCTTCTATTTTCCTGTAGGGCAGGATAGATTTCTATACCCCATTTCCTGTATTTCTTATTTCCCAGTTGTATGTGAAAACAATTTTTTAACGTGTTTTTTAAAACTTTGGGTTCCAAATTTTCTCCCTTCTTCTCTCTCCACCCACCCTCATTGAAAAGGCAAGCAACTCGATACAGGTTATACATATGTAGTCATGCAAAACACTTCCATAGTAGTCATGTTGTGAAAAACTAAGTATATTTTCCTTCATCCTATCCCACCCGTGATTTATTCTATTCTTGCTTTTGACCCTGTCCCTCCTCAGAAGTGTTTGCTTCTGATTACCCCTTCCCTCATTATGCCCTCCCCTCTATCATCCCCCTGCTCTCTTGTTCCTTTCCCCCCTGTTTTCCTGTAGGATAAGATAGCTTTCCATATCCAATTGAGTGTGTATGTTATTCCCTCCTTAAGCCAAATCCTATGAGAATAAGATTCATTCATTTCCTCTCACCTTCCCTTTTCCCCTCCATGTAAAAGCCTTTTCTTGTCTGTTTTGTGTGAGATAATTTACCCCATTCTCCTTCTCCCTTTCTCCTTCTCCCAGTATAATCCTCTCTCACCCTTAATTTTATTGCCCCGAATTCCCCCCCTTCTCTTTCACCCCCCCTGTGCCATCTCTCTCTCCTTCTCTGCATACATATAATTTTTCCCTCCAACTACCCTAATACTGACAAAGGTCTCATGAGTTACAAATATCATCTTGCCATGCAGGAATATAAACAGTTCAATCTTAATAAGTCTCTTATGATTTCTCTTTCCTGTTTACCTCTTCATGCTTCTCTTGAGTCTTGTATCTGAAAGTCAAATTTTCTATTCAGCTCTGGTCTTTTCATCAAGAATGCTTGAAAGTTCCCTATTTCACTGAATGACTGTTTTTTTCCCCTGAAGGATTATACTCAGTTTTGCTGGGTAGGTGATTCTTGGTTGTAATCCTTTCTCTTTTGCCCTCTGGAATATTATATTCCATGCCCTGTGGTCCTTTAATGTAGAAGCTGCTAAATCTTGTGTTATCCTGATTGTGTTTCCACAATACTTGAATTGTTTCTTTCTGGCTGCTTGCAATATTTTCTACTTGACCTGGGAACTCTGGAATTTGGTTACAATATTCCTAGGAGTTTTCCTTTGGGATCTCCTTTAGGAGGAGATCGGGGGATTCTTTCAATTTCTATTTTGCCCTCTGGTTTTAAAATATCAGGTCAGTTTTCCTTGATAATTTCTTGAAAGATGCTGTTTAGGCTCTTTGTTTGATCATGGCTTTCAGATAGTCCAATAATTTTTAAATTCTCTCTCCTGGATCTATTTTCCAGGTCAGTTGTTTTTCCAATGAGATATTTCACATTGTTTTCTATTTTTTCATTCTTTTGGATTTGTTTTACAGTGTCTTGATTTCTCATAAAGTCACTAGCTTCCAATTGCTCTATTCTAATTTTTAAGGAAGTATTTTCTTCAGTAATCTTTTGGACTTCCTTTTCCATTTGGCCAATTTTGCTTTTTAGGCATTCTTCTCCTCATTGGCTTTTGGACCTCTTTTGCCATTTGGGTTAGGCTATTTTTTAAGGTGTTATTTTCTTCAGTTTTTTTTTTTGAGTCTCCTTTAGCAAGCTGTTGACTTGTTTTTCATGATTTTCTTGCATTAATTTCAGTTTTTCCTCTACTTCTTACTTGCTTCTCAAAATTCTTTTTGAGCTCTTCCATGGCCTGGGACCAATTCATATTTTTCTTGGAGGCTTTGGATGTAGGAGCTTTGACTGTGTTGTCTTCTTCTGGTTGTATGTTTTGATCTTCTTTGTTACCAAAGAAAGATTCTATGGTCTGATTCTTTTTGCACTGCTTGCTCATGATCCCACCCAATTACTTGAGTTATAAACTCTTTCTTAATGTAGGAGTCTGCTTCCAGTGTGGAGAATGTACTGTCCCAAGATTCGGGGGTTTTGTGTAGCTGTTTTCAAAGATACTTCTAGGGATCTGAAAATTTTCAGTTCTTCCAAGGTGCTATGATCAAGGGTGAGGTGTTTACTCCTTTCCTGGCCTGAGCTCTGGTCTATGAGTGACCACAAGCACTTATTTCTGTCTTGGAACTGTGAGGAGGATTCTCTGTGCATCGCAACTACAAGCTCCACCACTCCAGTGCTCCTCCTCGCCCCAGGACTGCCAGCCAGAACTGTGACCCAGCTCCAAGTACGGGCAAAGCAAGAGAATCCTGCACCAGCAGAGAGATCCCTGCAATCCCCCTCTGATCAGCCACTTGGTTCCCCCTTAGTCTGTGGTCCAAAAGCTCTGGAAGCAGCTGCCACCCTAGGGCCAGGCTTGGGGACAGGGGCTGCTGGGCTTCTCGCTCTCACCATAGGTAGAGACTTTTCCCACTGACCTTCTAAGTTGTCTTTGGTGTTTGTGGGTTGAGAAGTCTGGAAAGTGCCACAGCTGCCCACGATTCAGTCCTCTGAGGCCTCCTCCAGGTTTGTTGAGGCCTGCCTTGCCTAAGCACCCAAGCCAAACTGCTCTCCTCTCTCAGCGTGGCACAATATACCTTTCTGATCAACCATCCAGGTTATATTGAGTTGTAAATTTGTTTCACTCTGTCTTTTTGTGGGTTCTGCTGCTTGAGAATTTGTTTAGAGCCATTATTTATAGGTATTTGGAGGGGCTTGAGGGGCAGCTCAAGCAAGTCACTGCTTTTGCTCCGCCATCTTGGCTCCACCCCAATAAGTGCTTTTTGATTAGCTGACTGACTGTATTGAAGGATCTGGGCATGTAGAAAGAGTCTGTAGAAAAGAAGACTGGGGGGGAGGGTATGATAGCTGTCTCCAAGTATTCAAATGGCTATCATGTGGAGGCAAGATTTCATTTCTCTTTTTTGGCCCCATGGGGCAGAATCAGAAACAATGAATGGAAGTTGCAACGGGGAAGATTTAGACTTGGTGTCAGAAAAGCTTCCTAACAATTAGAATTAATCAAGAGTGAGGTGGTCCACCTTGAGAGGTGGTGGGTAGGAGGGCTTCAAGCAGAAGCAGGATGATAGTTTGTGGCTTATCTTTTTTTTTAAGGCAATTGGGGTTAAGTGACTTGCCCAGGGTCACACAGCTAGTAAGTGTCAAGTGTTTGGTCTGGGGCCAGATTTGAAGTCAGGTCCTCCTGACTTCAGGGCTGGTGCTCTATCCACTGTGCCACTTAGCTACCCCTGTGGCATATCTTATAGTGGGCTTTCCTTTTTGGGCGTGGATTGGAATAAATGGCCACGGATGTCCCTTCCAACTCTCAAAAGCTATGATTCTATTACTAGGTGGTCTTTAAGGCATCTTTTAGTTCTGTATTTATGCTCTGATAATAGTGGTTGATCAATCAATCAACAAGAATTTATTTAGCTCCTGCTATAAGTCAGTCACTGTTCTGGGAGCATGGAGGAATGAATGAGTGAGAAATTATATGAGTGGTTCTAGGACGGGCAGAGGAAGGGCCATAAACAGTGTCCAGGGCCATCAGACCACAAGAAGATATACTTTATGTTCATAAAATATTATGTCCAAAAAATTTTTATTATTACTGTTGTTGATGCCATTCACTATTGAAATATTTTACCGCTGCCTACTTCATGCAAGAAAACCAGAGATGAAAAACAAACAAACAAACAAAAACACCCAACCCAGCAACTTTTCTGAAAATGGCTCCCATTCTCTTACCAAAGTTAACTTGCAGTTGGGGTTATAATTTTTCCAAGGAAAAGCAAACTCTGGGCAGACACTTCCCAAATCAGTAGTAGGAAGGGCCTGTCAAAATGAACAGTCAGTGGAGATGCTTGGCTCGGGGTCTCAGGCTGGGATAGGAGGATGGAGGTGGCTGCAGCCTTGGTGCCTTTCTCATTCATGTCCACTGTAACTTGATGTAGCAACTATGGGTTGGAGGAGATGGGATATAGGAGAAAAAATTAAATTCTTGGCCTGTGGAATGATATAAAGTCATGATAGGAGGACTTAGAGCTGGAAGATTCTTTGGAGACTTTTTAGTCCAATTTTCTCATTTTATGGATGAGGAAACCAAGGCCCAAATGAGGACTTGGACTTAGAAGTTTCCTATCTTCCAGTCCAACTGTCTTTACATTACATTGTCCTATAAATGTTAGGATTGTGATAAGAAGAAACATTCACCAAGTGCCTATTGTGTCCATAGAACCTTGCCAGTGGCCATGGAAGATACAAGGTTTAGATTGCCCTGGACTTCAGAGAAGTAATACTTTAGAAGTTAGATAAAAGCAGTGAAGAATTAGCTGGATCTCAGACACGATATCCTAATTATCTCAGTAGGGCACGCATTTCATTATGGATATAGTACATACAGACAAGGAAAGAAATGCATACTTGAAGTCTATGGATCTTTATTAAATTAGAGTGGTATTGACATCTTTTTTTTTTTTTATTATTCTAGAAGCAGCCTGACTATTTTTTACTTTTGGAAATACAGCAGGGAAATCTGATTTTGTTTCTCCCATTCCTTGAAGCAGGATGTTATAGGAGAACGAAGATTATATTTAGAGTCAGAGGACCTGATTATGAACCCTAATTTTGCTGCATACTACTTGGGAATTGCATCCTTGGGTAAGTCATTTAACCAATGAGCCTTAGTCTCCTTACTTTTAAAGTGAGAAGGTTGTACTAGATAATAAGCAGAGTTCCTTTAGCTTTAAATCCTGTAATTCATAAAGGAAGAGAACCAGTTTTCAGGCCCGGTCCAACTGAGAATTATCTCTAGTGTCTGCCTTTCTATTCCCTACTGTATTGTTATACCTGCTTTATTCTATGGGACACAGTCACTTGTCACTAAGTAGTTAAGCTGTCATTGGCCTCTTGTATATAACTGATCTTAGATATAAATTAATACTGGAGCTCTGCCCAGTTACTCAGTCTTCCTTGACCTGGGAGGTTTCTGAGCAGAGCCCTCAGAAATCATTGGTTTGAGGATATTGTAATCAGGGTTCATGTTTTTGGGTAGTGTTTGTATTAGATAGCTTTGAGATTCTCCCCGGGTCTATAATTCTTCAGTTATGTCAAGGAATATTCCCTAAGAATTCTGTATTGGAAGTTCAATGTTCCAAGACAGATTCTTGAGATAGCATAATTTAGAGTTAATAGCTCTGGATCATGCAGGATGAAGTGGAAAATGGTCTGGGCCAAGGGTGGGGAACCTGTGGCCTCATGGCCATGTGTGGCCTAGGTCCTTGGGTGCAGCCTTTTGACTGAGTCCAAGTTTACAGAACAAATCCTTTTATTAAGGGGATTTGTTCTGTGAAGTTTGGATTCAGTCAAAGGATCTCATTTGAGGACCTAGAGGGCTACATGTGGCCTCCAGGCACATGTCACCTCACTTGGGCAAGTCACCTCACTTCTATGTATAAACTTTAATTTCTTCATCTCTATAATTAGGGAGTTGGACTAGATGACCTCAAAGGTCTTTTTCACTAAAAAAAAATTAACGTGATTAAAACTGAAATCCAAATTCTCTGACAAGATAATTTCTCAAGATAGTTTTTAGAGGGTAAATTGGAAACTGTCTCTTCCCTCTTCCCTTTGATTTCATAGATACTCAATATGTCTATACATATTTGTAATGGGTTTTATGTTTCTTGCCTTCTCAATGAGTGAGGGAGGGGAAAGGGGTAGAGGGAGAATTTGGAACTGAAAATAAAGCAAAATGAATTTAAAAATAAAATAAAAGATGCTCAACAAATGTTGGTTGAACTGAATTATTGCATTACATTTAAAATTTTAATTGCTATGGACCACCCAGCCTTTCTAGAAGGAATAAACATGAATAAATGAGGCAGCATGGCCTGATGAAAAGAGGACTAGACTTGGATTTTGAAGCTATGGGGCCAAATCTCAGTGCTGACACTTAATAGCAATGTGAACGGGGCAAATGTTCTTAACCTCAGTTTCCTTTTCTGTAAAATGCAAGTGTTGAATTATCTTGGTTTCTAAGATTACTTCCCTCTTGAAAGGGTTATGATCCTATGAATGACTGAAGAATAGCTGAATTAATGGTATAGGTCATAGGATTCAGAGCTGAAAGAGACCTTAAAGATCTTATCTTTTTATTTTACAGTTGGGGAAACTGAGGTCCAGAGAACAGAAGTGACTTTCCTAAGGCCGTATGGGCAGAAAGTAAACTTTGGAACAAAGTTTTGCTATCTAAACACTAAATCCAAAGTGAAGATTAGGAATCCCCCTTGGTCTCCTCCAGGATATTACAACAAAAGCTTTGGGATCCCACAAGAAGAAAGAATTCAAGAAACAAAAGTCACTCTTGTGATGGAGCTTGTAGATAGTATTTTATTTCGTGCTGTTGAGCAGAACAATGGGAATCGCCACGGCTGTGGTAGGAGGGCACAGAGTCCAATGAGGGGAATATGATAGAGGAGAGCCAGTCTTTCATTTGAAAGATGAAAGCAGAGAAGAAACTACTCACATTTACTACCTTACCTTTGAGACTGCCAGGTGTGGTTGTTCAGTGATGTTGGATAGATTGACTTCTGGAGTGAATATACTGGAAAAACCCATTTTGGAAAGTATTTTTTCCAGGCTGTATGCCCCAGAAATTGAAAACTTTGGCAAATGTAAATTTAGTAGACTTCATAAATAAAAAAGAGAAAGAGAAAGAAACAAGTCCTGTTTGATTAGTCATATTGTTCCAATACTGTTCTTCCCTTTCTTCTCCATTTCCTCCCACCCTTCCCCCTTCGTCTTTTGAGCTAAGGGAGATGATTTTTGAAAGTGATCCTTTCAGTGAAGTATTGGGAAAGAGAGGTGCCACCCTCTTGAGGGTGGGTTCCAACCAAAAGGAAGCAACTAGCCAAGGAGCCTTCTACAGCCTACATACCACTTCTTGAAATAACTTAAGCCTCCCTCACAATCCCGTAACTGAGCTTCTAGAATAGGGGATGGGAAGGGAAAGGAAGGTAATGAGCATTTATACGATTTCTACTAGGTGTCAGGCACTGTGCCAAGAGAACTTTTCACAAATATTATCTCATTTGATCCTTAGAACAACTCTATAAATTAGGTGGTATTGTTATCCCAGTTTTACAGTTGAGGAAACTGAAGCAATCAGAGGTTAAATGACTTGCCCAGGGTCACACAGCTAATAGTGTCTGCGTGTCAGATCTGAACTCAGGTCTTCCTGTTCCTAGACTCAGACCTCTATCCCCTGTGCCACCTAGTTGCCTAGAATAGACACCCATGTGAAATTAACAGGGATTTTTTCTTTATCCCTTTCCTCCACAAAACCTTACTTCACTGCCTTGTCATAGTATGTATGAGAACCCAATATCTGTGCTGTGCAGAAGGGCCCCTAGCTAGGGAAAATAGGCCAGAAAAAAGCTAAGGATGGGCCCAAGTTAAGGCTTTGGTGATCTACAGAAGAGGTTTGAAAATGGCTCTTTTTTATGTGTCATTGTCCACTAGGGGATCCATGTTGTGATGTAACACCTGAAAATAAAATACCTAAGGTACCATAAAATACTCTAAGTACCATAGAGTGAGATTTTTTCTGGCAGCAGCAACATCCACATATTTTTTTAAAAGGCATATTTAATCATGCCCCTTCTGATGCTCCTGCGTTCCACTGTGTTCTATCCTAGGCAGCTGACTATCTTGCCTTTCTGAGGTAATTTCACCTCTGCCTGGGGTCTCAAAGGTCGTACCTCACATCTTTATCCAGGGCCAAAGAATGATTTCTAAAATTTCTTTCCTGAGACAGGGAGGTGGTGTAGTGGTTTGAATGTTGGGCTTGGCGTCAGGAAGACGTGTTCAAATCCTATTCCAGACATGGATAAGTCACTGAACCTCTCCGAGATTCAGTTTTTTCCTCTGTACAATGGGGAGAATAACAGCACTACTTCACAGGGGTCTTGGAGGGATCATGTAAGAAAACATATGGAAATCACTTTGTAAACCCCCAAGAGCTCTATAAATACCAGATCTCTGAGGTTATTTCCCACTCTAAAATTCTGTGGTTCTGTGAATTGTAGGTGCTAAGTTGAGAGGAGATAAGTATCAGAGAAAATGTTGGCTTGACCAGATTTGCATAAGATTGAAAGGGAAGGCTGAAGTTCCCAGGCAGAGAGAAAGGAGGGAGCGGGTGAGAGTATCTTATTTTCTTTGTACTTTTATTTAGAAAGTTGTGCTCTGCTTAGTATCGGTCTTTTAATTCATAATTTCAGAAAGTGTAATTAAACAAAGGGAATTTTGGTGGTGGTTGGATATCTGTCTGTGAAAGTGATTTACCAGAGATAGTTTTCCTTTGCTTAAATAACTGGCTAACAGAGCTGCAGCTAGATGACTCAGTGGATAGAGTACCGGGCCTGGAGAAGGAAGAGCAGAGTTCAAATGCAGCCTCAGACACTTACTAGCTGTGTAACCTTAGGCAAGTCACTTGACCTCTGTTTGCCTAGGAGACAGGTAGGTGGTTAAGTGGATAGAGTGCTGGGCCTGGAGTCAGAAAGACCTGAATTCAAATTGGCCTCAGACATTTACTACCTGTGGGACCTTGAGCAAGTCACTTAACCTGTTTGCCTTAGTCCACCAGAGGAGGAAATGGCAAACCACTCCAATATCTTTGCCAAGAAAACCCCATGGAGAGTATGATCCACAGGGTTACACAGAGTCTGATATAAGTGAACAAGAACAAAACAGAGCTGCTATTTCCTCTTTCAATAGACTGTGTAACTGGGGAAAGTTAGAATCAATAGGGAAACAAAAGAGATCACTCTTCCCCATATGCCCTGTATCCTTAGCTACCAGCTAAGATACCTCAATAGGTGGGGGAGGGGGTAATCAGAAGCAAACACTTCTAAGGAGGGACAGGATCAAAAGAGAGAACAGAATAAATGGGGGGCAGGATAGGATTAAGGGAAATATATCTAGTTTTTCACAATGTGACTGCTGTGGAAGTGTTATGCATCACTACACATGCATAACCTGTATTGAGTTGCTTGCCTTCTCAATGAGGGTGAGTGGGGAGGGAGGAAGGGAGAAAATTTGGAACCCAAAGTTTTGCAAACAAATGTTAAAAAAAATTGTTTTCACATGCAGCTGGGAAATAAGATGTACAGGAAATGTGGTATAGAAATCTGTCCTGCCCTACAGGAAAATTGAAGGGGAAGGGGATAAGAGAAGTGGGGGAGAGACAGAAGGGAGAGCAGATTAGGGGAAGGGGTATTCAGAATGCATGCTGTCTTGCGGTGGTGGGGAGGGATGAGATGAGTAGGAAAATTTGGAACTCAAAAACTCAAAATCTTGTGGACACGAATGTTGAAAACTGAAAATAAATAACTTAATGAAAAAAAAAGATACCTCCATAGGCCCTTCCAAATTTACCTGGGCAATAGTAATTTGTTCCATTTCTTCAGGGTCTCTGGCTTCAGAGAATCTTCTACTTGCCTCATTTTCCCTTCATCTGGCAGAACGAGAAGGATGAGGACGTCCTCAGTGTATTCCATTTGGAGTACAATGCAGGCCAGCTCCTTATCATACAAAAACCGATGTTGTGCCTTTTGGTGCATCATAGAGGGCCTAATGATCTTCTCATCGACAGAAGAACTCTGATGCTTCTTAATCCAATAGTGTTTGAAAGGGTGCATCCATTTGGCTTATGACACAGAAATAGGGAAACCGTAAGTAAGTAAAATTCAAGCTGCTATATTCAAAGACAGCTCTTTACCTGACATTCATGTATTCATCACTGTTTTCCTTTCATCCTTTCTGTAGTTAGAAGGGGCAAGGTCAGAGTGGCTGGGTTCAAACCTTGGCTCCACCACTTACTGCCTTTGAGACCTGATCATGTCTTCTAACCTTGTTGAATTTCAGTGTCCTTCACTTTGAAATGAGAGGTCCGATAGGTGAACCATTAAGTATCTTCCAATTCTAAATCTATGATTTTGGGGGGACAGTTCAGCTTTCAGACAGAAAAGCACAGCAAAAATGCTCTATGTCTAGGTTGCTCCCTTAGACATCTTGGACAGTGCCTGGAGCTTGAAAATCATTTCTCCTTTATACGTACCTTATTTATAGTTTACTAGCTGTGTGACAAGTCATTTAACATCTGTTTGCCTCCTTTTCCTCAACTGTAAAATGGAGATAATAATAGCATACCTACTTCCCACGGTTGTTGTGAGGATCAAATGAAATAGTATTTGAAAAGCACTTAGCACAATGCCTGGAATATAGTAGGCAATTAATAAATGCTTATTCCTTCCCCTCTTTATCTACTTTTGTGATCTGGATCTGTTAGGTAGTTTCTACAGCTCCCCATTGTGATGTTCTAAATTGGGAGGTCTGGAAGCATAGTGGGAAGAGCACTGGATCTGGGGAAGGACCTGAATTTGAATCTTGGCTCTTTCTATTTACTTTTCAACCTGGGATCAATTACCTTCTTGGTCAGCCTTAGTTTCCTCACCTGTAAACTGAGGAGATTGGGATTAGAATACCTCTAAGGCTTCTTCCATCACCAAATTCTATGAAAGTAGAATATTGCTTAATTTCTATGTCTGTTAGGCATTATGTACTTCTTCATATGCTGCTTTCTTTAGTTTAACCTTTCATGATACAGAAGACAACTTTATTTTTTACTTGAAGGGGTTAGAAAGTACCATATGGATGTGTTATACTTTAAGGCAATAGGATGTGATTCTAAAAAGTTGTAGGTGAATTTCTTTTAGTTGAAGTATCAGAGGATCCTGGGAAGATGGGAAAGTGAGCAGCAACCTAAGGTAAAGTTCCCTCCCTCTCCTCTCAAGTAAGCCATAATGGAGCAACCTCAAAGAGAGCAAATTTGACAGTGAGAATGAGAGAAAATTGAAAGAACCCATTGCAAGGTAATTCTTACAGAAAAAAAAACCATTACCATTACCCCTGGCACCATGGCTCATGGTGGCACTGGCCCAGGACAGCCCAAAGTCATCTTTAAGATCTCCAATTTTTGGCAGACATTTGCAGCTAACCTCTTCAAAGTATTCCAAGGGATTGTGCTCCTTGGATAATAAGGCCCATTATTCACACCAGCCCTAATGATTGAGAGGAAGGTAAGGAGCCTTCTGTACAGGAATGTGGATCCTGGTAGGAAGGGTCAGAGATTATGAAGGAGAGAAGAGCTTGGAAGTATAGCACAATGTTACATAGAAGGAAGCAGGCAGTCAGCAGGAGGAATGAAAGGTAGAGAGGAGACTTGTTTGCAAAGCTTTTCAGTTTTCTCCTAGCAGAGTCCTAGGGACCATCACCAACTTCTTATCCACCGACCTCCAAAGGTAGGCTGCAGACAAGTTGGACAGAGAAAGGCAGAGAGTAAGTTCAACTACAGTGACATCTCAGTCTCCCTATAGCAGTCAGACAGCATGAGCCTGGGGAGAGAAGTAATAGCAATGGAGCTACAGAAATAAAAGGATTGAAGACAAGAAGAACATTTACGTTTAGGAGAGCATAAAGTCGTCTTTCTCAGAATGTAATCTGGGGTCCTCTAGAGATCCCCAAGACACTTTCAAGGGGTCCTTGATGTCAAAATTGTTTTCATAATAATACTAAAATATTTAAATTTGTAATACAATAAATATTGATAAAGATAACCCATGTAAACAAAAGATCTTTAGGGAAGTCCTCAGTAATTTTTAAGAGTATAAAGGGGTTCTGAGACCAAAAACTTTTAGAACTTCCAGCATCAAGAAATCAAACAGATAATTGCTATATGAGAAAGAAATGAACAAACCTTTCTAAAAGACTTCTCAAATATTTCACAACAAAGGAAATTGAGTTAATATCACTTGAGGAAGGTGAAGATATTACAGAGTTCCACAAAGCGCCTGGAAATGACACAGGAACAATGCCAGAAACCTAAAGAATACCTGGAGCAAAGAATTAAGTAAAATTATAAAAGAGGCTCTTAAGGAAGAAATCAGTAAGTCTAACAAGAGGGTAGGGAATTTAGAATAAAAGACAGACACTATCCATAAAAGCAAATTCTCTGAAACAGAGAAAGACAGAATGGGAGAACAAAATGGTAGATGTAGAAGGAAAATTAGTTAACCAAATCAAAAGATAACAAAATAGTAAGAACATGAGAACGCTGTGTAACAACTGTAACCTGAGCTTGTCTGGGGGTGCCCAGTTCACTTAATATGGAGTTGCCTTTGAGGGGCTTTTGGAGCATATCTAGATTGCCTAACATAGGGACTTCTGGGTCCTCTACCAGGTGTGTATGGGTAACCTCCTTTGATTGGTGTCTTGCGTCTTTAAAACCAGTGAGACTGAATTGATAACGCTTTCAACTACTCTCTTTTTGGCCCCTCTTATTTGTTGTGTCCAAAGGGTGAAGATTCCAGTTCAACCACAAAGTGGGTGTCATGAACTGAATAGGTGGGAAGGGAAGGACTTTCACCCCTTGCTCCTTGTTTTATCCTGGATCTAAGAAACGGGTCTGGAATGTGCTTATTTCTTTTCTATGTTGTTTGTCCTCCTTTGTTTCGGGTGCTAGAGGTGATCCTTATAGGACTTGGGATTTTGAGCCATGGTGACCTTGCAGCCAGGATTGCAGGCAGAACAGTGCAGCCAGCCAGCCCAGAATGGAAACCCTGAGAAGCCAGGGTGCTTGGGACTGGAACCTGAGGTAGAGGTTTGGACTTGGAATTAGGACTAAACTTACATATAACACTGGTATGGTGGTCCCTATTGCTTGGAGGGTCAAGCAGGTTAGATTTTACTCCTCCTCAGGGGTTTTCTGGTACTCTTAAGGTATCAAAGGGTGTCTAGGCTCTCTGAAAATTGCTTCAGTCCCCACTAATGGTATTCCCCCAAGTGTAGGGGTGTAGGTCCATTGTGACCCAGTTCCATTTCACTACTGATAAATTAGCTTTTACATAGAAATATTTACTTCAAAGGGTATAATAACAAAAAAAACGCACTTGCTTTCCTAACACATCAGAAATCTAATCTTCCCATCCCTATTTGCACCACCTCAGTCTCTGGGGAGGGGAAGGAATTACGTTCATAATGTAGCTCAGATCCTAAAGAGCCCATTCCCAGTTTTAAATCCAAAATCCTCCCTCCGGCTTTAGTCCTAGGTACCCTGAGAAGACAGGCTTCAAGGTCATCGTGGCTCAAAGTCCTGGGTCCCATGAGGATCACCTCCAGCACCTGAAACTAAGTAGGACAAACAATACAGAGCAGTAACAAATATTCCCAGGCCCATTTCTTGGAGCTGGAGTAAAAGAGGAAGAAGGAGAAGGAAGTCCTCCTTTCAGTTCAGTTCATGGCACTTACCCTGTGGGTGAACTGGGATCTTCACCCTCTAGATATAGCAGGTAAGAGTGGCTAAAAAGAGAGCAGTCAGAACAGAAGGACTGGCTTAGTCTTGCCAGTTTTAAAGATACAGACAACTAATCAAAGGAGGCTACACCCAAGTGCGTGGTAGGGGATCCAGAGACCTCCATGTTAGGTGAATAGGTGCAGGATATAAAATCCCAATGCAACTGAACTTGAAAATATAATTAGGTTTACTTATAAAAAGAAGACACCAAAGGTAATGATTATGGAGTAAAAGAGGCCCAAGAGGTAAATTCAGAAGAAGAGAATAACTTCATAACAACTATTAAAAAAAAAAGTTTGGCCATGAAGACTACAAGAATGGCTGGAAGAAATAAAATAAGAGACTAAAAGGAAATTATCCATGAAATTAGAGCTCAAGAGAAAGAAGAAAACTAGAAGAAGAATGAAACTGAAAGCGTAATTAATACTGACCAAACAGTGGACCCCTTAAAAACTGAATAGAACAGAATTCAATGACTCCATGAGACAATGAGAAATTTTAGAACAAAATCAAAAGATTGAAAAAAGAGGGGTTGATTATTAACCTATCAATAAAAAAACTGATTTGGAAAATATTGAGGAGAGATAATTTAGGAATCATCAGAGTCCCTGAATACAATGGCCAAACAAAAAAAAGGGCACTATGTTTCAAGAAATCATAAAAAGAAACTGCCCAGATCTATTTAAAAACCAAAAGGCAAAGCCAAATGGAAATAATTCAGTAATACAACTCCTGAAAGAACTATAAATGCAAACTCTCAGTAATGTTATATCTCAAATATGGAATTTCTACATCAAGGAAAAAGTACTAGAGGAAGCTAGAAAGAATTAATCTAAGTAACAAAGAACTATACACAGTTGGTATTACACAAGATCTGTCAGCTACTAAGATGGAGGAGAATAGATCCTGGAACATGATTTTCCAAAAGACAAAAACTTACAACCAAGAATAACTTACTGTGAAAAACTAAGTATAATTCTACAGGGGAAAATGGATTTTTCATAGCACAAAGGATTTTTAAGCATTAATGATGAAAATACTACAGCTGAGAATGCAAGAGAGATCTAGAAAGGTAAATATATTGGAGCAATTGGAGTGGACTAAATGATGATAAAGTGCTTATATTCTAATATGGGAGAAGGAAAGTGTATCTTAATTCTAATGTCTTTGTGGGTCACAGAGAGAAATAAGATAAACATGGTGTAGGTTTACTTTATGTTGTTGCTTATAAGAAAGAAAAGAAAAAGAGAAAATAAAGGAACATTCTAGGGAAAGAAATGAAGAATAAAGGGTACTTACTCTAAATGAGTAAATGAGATGAAACAGAAAGAATATGTAAATATGGAGGAAGGCATAGAAGGAGTGACCATTACATGACTTTCACTTTTATCTGAACCAGGTAGAGGAGGAATGCATTTGCTCGCACTCGCGCGCGCGCACACACACACACACACACACACACACACACACACACACACACACACAGAGGGTTTGGTATAGAAGTCTATTACTGTTAATGGGGAAACAGTCAGGCAAATGGAAAGGGAAGGAGAGTGACAGAGAGAGAATAGACTTGAGAAGAGAACAGTCACAAGCAACTTTAGAGGGGTTGATTATAAAGAGATGAATAGAAATTGCCATCGCTGACCATATTTCATTCCCCCCCTCAACCTTTGTCTTTGTAAAGAGGGGGCCAGGAGGAGAACAAGAAAAAGTACACGATGCAAGGGGGCTGGGCAGAGAAAATGCCCAGAGTTAGGAGATGGAATATCTTGTTTGTGGAACAACAAGGAGGTCAGTGTTACTGGATCAAAAAGTACCTGGGGGTGAGTAAGTGTAAGAAAACTAGAGAGGTGGGAGGGGGACAGTTTATGAAGGGCTTTGAATGCCAAATAGAGGACTTTTTATTTGCTGTTGGGAGTGTTATGGAGTCACCTATTGAGCAGGAGAAAGGCATGGTCAGATCTGTGCTTTTGAAAGATCACTTTGACAGCTGAGTGGAGGATGAAGTGGACCAATTAGAGAGCTACAGCAATATTCCATTTGTAAGGTGATGGGGGTCTGCATCAGGCTGGTGGAAGTGTCAGAAAAGAGGTTAGGGGAAGATAAGTAGATTTGAGAATCATCATTAGATAGATAATAACTGGATCTATGGGAGCTGAAGAGATGACCAAGTGACCACTGAAGGGCACTCATGGTTAATAGGTATGACTTGGACAAAGATTCAGCAAAGGAGACTCAGAATGAATGGTTAGATAAGATGGAGGAATACCAGGAGAGTAGTGTAATGAAAAATGAGAGAGACAGAGTATCAAGGAGGAGGGTGACAGTGCCAAAAGCTGAATAGAAGTCAAGAAAATGAAGATTGGGAAAAGGCCATTAGATTGGGCAATTAAGAGATCACTGGTACCTTTGGGGAGAGAATTTTGGGTTGAATGATAAGATCAGAGGCTGGGAGAGGAATGAAGGCAGCTGATGGTTGGGGTGTTCCAGAGCTGAGAGTTGGCAGGGCAAGATTGGTGATGGGTTAAGGGGGCAAGGGATTCAAGAGAAGACGATGGAGAGTTGAACTGCTTTACTAAGGGGACAATTGGAAAAGGAGGAGAGTGTAGTCAATGCAGGAGTGATGGCCTGGGAAAGAACTGAGAGGTTGAAGGATTGGAGGTCACAGTGAAGATGAAGCACATGGTTTGTGGTTGTAAGACACAGACAGAAATAGAGTGACAAAAAATTGTGATCAAATAAAGGAATTTCAGAGTTTATCAGCATGAAAGTGGAGTATTTATGAGTGATGGCAAGATCAAAGCTCTGACCATCTTTGTGTGTAGTTGTGATGGGGTATAAGAGTAGGTCATGAGAAATGAGCAAGTTGAGGAACTGGAAGGTTATGACCCTTGAAGGAGCATCCATATGTAATTATATTGAAATCCCCTAGCTTGAGGGCAGGATTTCAGAAGGAGAGAAAGACTGTGAGCTAGATACTGAACTCACTAAGGAAAGAAGCAATATGTTTTGAAGGTTGGTAGACAACAGCTACTAGAATTTTGATTGAATGGAAGACATGGATTGAGTCAACTTCAAAAGAGGAGAGACTACTGAGTAAAGGAGGTAGAGTGCCTGGAAGTTGTAATGGTGAGCAAGGAGTGCCTGGGAGTGAATAAGGTGACCTTACCATGCTTGACCAATGAGGAAATGAGTGAAAGTGCAACCACTGTTGGAAAGGGTGGCCAAGGAAGCTGTGTCATCAAGAGGAAGCTAGGTCTCAGGGACAGCTGAAAGATTAAGGGATTGGGAAAAGAAAATATTTAAGATTGAAACAAATACATTAGCTACTGGGTGTGTATTTCAGAGAGAACAGTGGAAGGAGTGGGTAGATTTATAGTGGGACATTGTGGGGTTTGGGATGAGGAGGATAGAAATAAGAAGGCAGGTAGTGGAAGATGGAGAATGGAGTTTGTATAATATGAAGGGTTAGGATCACTGGAGTGGGCAATGCATGACAAGGTGGAAGTCTGTTAATCATTGAGAAATATGTTCAGGAGGATTATCGGCATCACTAGGGGTTGGGCCTCAGGATGGTGTCCTCTCAAGATGTTAGGCAGCTCAGGTGAGACCAGTGGTGAGAGCTGATGGAATAGTATTTGTGTCCTATACTTGCAGGCAGGCCAAGCCTGGAGATAGCTGGAGGAATCAGGAAAGAATAGTGTCTCTTTATCCTATGTTTGCAGGAAGGGATGATTAAAAAGAAATTGGGTTCCCTTGCAAGTGGGAAGAGACTGGTACCCAATAGAATAGAATCCCTCTGACCCCTGCAAGAGGGAAGAGGCCAGGTCAGGAGACCTTTGTTGGGTGGAATGGCTTCTCTCAAACCCCTTATCTTCACAATATCTCTCAATATGTCCCTTTATCACCATTCACACAATGACCACCCTTCTATAGGCCCTCTTCACCTCACACCTGGTCTAATGCAAAAGCTTCTGGTTGGTTGCCTTACCTCAAGCCTCTCCCCATTCCAATCCAGCCTCCACTCAGCTACCAAAGTGATTTTCCTCAAGTTCCCACCTGACCAGAAAGGGACTCCTCCTCTACTAAGTAAAGTTCAGTGGTTTCCTATTACCTCCAGTGTCAAACATAAAATCTTGTTTGGCTTTCAAAGCGCTTTGCAACTTGTCCTCTTTCTATCTTCCCAGTATTCTCAGGAAATGAATTTATTCCCTTTCACAAATAGTTGGCTATCTTAATTTTAGGAGCTAATTAGAAAAACATCATAATGATCATTAGCTTTAGAAACTTTAGTGATAAACTCATCCAATCTCCTCATTTATTGATAAGGAAATTATAGTCCAGAGAAGTTAAATGACTTGGCTATAGTCACTCGGCTAGTAATTAGCAAAGAATGAATTTGAACCCAGGCCTCTCTGGCTCAAGATCCAAGGCCCTTTCCACCATGCCATGTTCCAGGTCCCAGCTTCCCCAACTGTACGATGACAAACTTGTACTTGATGATTTCCAAAGTCCCTTCTAGCTCTAAACCATACTATTTAAAACATTCCGTAATTGTGGTTTTTTTTTTCAAGCGGGGAAATGACTAAGATTTCTGCCTATCTGCACAAATCCAGGTCACCATAGAAGGTGAGGGGGAAGGGTCTCTTCTTCAGATTTGTTCAGTTGTGGTTGATCTTGCTGAGATGAATCTCTGAGGTCCTAAACAACTCTGGACTCTATTATTTTATGTGAAATGAAGTGAGCCCAAGACATTTGCAAGTGTTGAAAGAGACATTGTCTTTTAAAGGTCTCAAAACCTTAGATGGGGCTCCAAGTTCCCATCAAGTGACTGGGTTCATTTTGGCCCAAAGGAACATCTTTGCTTCCTTTAGAGAACATGAATAACTAACATATGAGGAAATGTTGGAAATGGGATTCAAACCCAGTTTTCCCAACTCCAAGTCTAGCACTCTTTCCATTCCATTATCACAGCTGCCTACTTATATAAGATATTTTCCCTGCCTCATCTGATGGCAGTGGGATGCATGGGAAACAAGACCAAAATGGTCATCACCTGGAAGGAGATAGAAACAGATTCACCTATCAAGCACAGGTTTCATTGGATGTTCTCTTAGATCTTTCCAAGGCTGAGGTCCTATGACTCTATGGATCAGGGATCTATTTAAATAAAAATACACACCTTTAAAAAATATGGAATTCACAAGTACCATCACAGTGTCTTGATTGAAATCTTGAAGAAATTCTCTAATTTTCCCATAGGTTTGGTTCTCTATGTATTTGCTAATCTGTCTCCTAGTCGAGAAAAAATTAGTGAAGTTGATGGAAAGTGTTGTGGCTTCATACAACTCCTTGATGCTATGCCATTCCTGAAGTGGTTTTAACTGCTTGTCCAGGATCATGAAACTTCCTATTTTCAGTTCATGTTTTTTGCTGCTCAGGTTTAGCTTATGGATGAGATGCTGGAAACTCTTGTAGATCTCAGACTCAGGTGTCTCTGTGAGGTTGAAGCCCAACCCCTCTAGTATCTGAGTTCGAATTGTAGGTTGGGTCCCAAGGGACAACATGGCCAGAGCCATGGAGATGCTCACGGGGGAGAAGAAAATGTTGTCACTGGGGGCTGCCGAAGTTAGTTCTTTGTATAAGTGTAGGGCAAAATTGGTATTGCCAGTGGAGATTTTATGGCATGGTAGGGATGTTTCTGAGTGAGTTTCATCCTGTAAGTAGATCTCTGTCTTATTATTTCCCTTACAGTCAGGAAGAGGCTGACAGTGGCCAACAACTAGAATCCCAGCCACCAGCATCCACATGTAAGTAGACTCCATATCCAAGGGTCGTAGTTCTAAAAATAATGGAGAGTATTCAAGTTAATAATGCCTTCTTCTAAAAATTTCAGTGACTCCCCTTTGCTATACAATGAAATCCAAGCTTCTAATGCATAAGGCCCTCCAAAGTCAGGCCTCAACCAACTTTCCATCCTTAGTTTCTGTATTTTCCTCAGTATGATCTTAGTTTGAGCTTGCCAAATTCAGATATTCATTCCCCTCAGCATACCTTGCATGTTTCCCCATTCTTGAGGCTTTGCTCCTACTGTTTTTCCTATCTGAAATGCTCTCCTGCCATGCCTCCTTCTATCTAAAGAAAGCCTTCCTATCCTTCAAAGACCATTTCTACTGCTACTTGCCTCACAAAGCCCTCCATGATCACACTACCCAGAAATGCTCTCTCACTAAAGCCAAAGCTAACTCAGCTCCTATTGCTTTTGTTCATAACTGCTCAAATAGTATTTACCTATCATATGTTGCTTTCTATTGCAGCCATTTACATACATGTTATCTCTCCCATTAGGAGAGAGCATTAAGACGTAGCACCTTTCAGGGTCCATGTAGCCTTTGGCAAATCATGTCCCCTCTCTGTTCAGCTTCAGTTTCCTCATCTGTGAAGTGCGTACTCTTTCTCCTCCAGCTATACTAGTGATTTTCAGCTTACCTTTATGTGTTGTCTTCTCCTCTAAGAATATAAACTCCTTGAAATTAGAGATTGTCTTGTTGTTATTCAGTCATTTCAGTTGTTTGTGACCTCATTTGGAGTTTTCTTGGCCAAGATACTGGAATGGTTTGTAATTTCCTTCTGCAAATAATTTTACAAATGAGGAAACTGAGGCAAACGGAGTTAGGTGTCTTGCCCAGGGTTGCATAGCTAGTTAGTGTCTGAGGCCAGATTTGAACCCAGGAAGATGAATCTTCCTGACTCCAGGCCTGGAGTTCAATTCCGTGCACCACTTAGCTGCCCAGAGACTACCTTGTTTTTCTTTCTTTCTTTCTTTCTTTCTTTCTTTCTTTCTTTCTTTCTTTCTTTCTTTCTTTCTTTCTTTCTTCTTCTTCTTCTTCTTTCTTTTCTTTCTTTCTCTTTCTTTCTTTCTTTCTTTCTTCTTTCTTTCTTTCTTTCTTCTTCTTCTTCCTCTTCCTCCTCTTCTTCCTTTTCTCCTCCTCCTCCTGCTTCTTCTTCTTCTTCTTCTTCTTCTTCTTCTTCTTCTTCTCTTCTTCTTCTTCTTCTTCTTCTTCTTCTATTCTTCTTCTTCTTCCTTCTCCTCCCCCCTCTCTCCTCATAGGATTTTGTGAAGAAAGTACTATAGAAACGCTTGCCGATGTGATCTTATGATAGTTCCTGTGCACTCTCCATGCTCCACTGAGTGTCTGAATTGCTAATTAACTTATGCGCTTATGAAATGGGGCAGACATTCCTAGTTCTTTGGATATTCTCTGGGTAAGACCATGACAGCAGTGAGGAAGCACAAGGAAGTGAGGCTGCAATCACACTTTAATAAGTATGTGGAATAAGGGTAAGTGGCACAGAAAATACAGAGACAAACTGCAAAAGGGAGGGGAATACAGAGGCAAATAATATGGTGAGAGGATGAGATGATGGAGTAAGACAAGTAGCATGGGCTAGAAAATGGGAAGGGGGAAAGTCACAGAGAATAACTCATGTAACCGTGGATTAAAGTTGGGAGCACTCAGCTGAATGGACCCAAATGGAGATAGTAGAGTGCTGGTGGTGAGGCTGGAGTTGGAGTCTCATTTTTATAGAGTTTTGGTGAGGGACAGATTAATACTTAATATATTTAAATCATCTCAAAGTTGTCAGTAAAATTTTAAAATCCAAATCATATCAAAATGATCAGCATCATTGGTGTTCTGCTAGTCTTACTGCAGATGGAGGTTATCTGAGGTTTACATATCATAGGACCAAAAGTCCCTGCAAGCAAGGTCTTGATGGTTTCCCCTGATTTAGTGCATAGTCTCAGGATGTGATTTTTGGTTAATATATGACACATTTTGCAAATTATGCTACTTTGACCTTTTGGAAGGTCTGTACGTGACTTCTAGGCTGCCCTTTGCAATTTTACTTCCTGCCACTGTTACTTTATACTGACTACTTATAAACTTGCTACATTGACTAGAAGAGGGTGGGTGGTGGTGGTTAGGGCAACCAGAACAAGATGCAATTTTAACACAATCTATCCCTTAGTCCCCTGACCACAAGCATACATTACAGGGCTTATGGAATAATCTCAGCAAAATCACAGTAAGCATAATAATCGCTATAACCCCAAAGGAATCCTGCCCATTTGCCTAGAAAAATCCAGGACAAAAGATCAGTAAAAACACTCATAGACCCTGATGAGATGTTCTTGATCTCTGTGACAATGGCAACAACAGTCCTTACTCTGCTTCTTCTATGGTCTGAGATGAAGGCTGTTTCTCCTGAGGATTCAATCCACATGCACCGGGAGTTTATGAAACCACAGATTCCTCCCTGGCTTGCTAAAAGGTAGCCAAAAGCTAGCAGATGGTCCATCACTATAGCTCCCAAGGTATGTTATCCTTCAGCCAATTTGTCAAGTTCTCTGTCAGTGTCTTTAATCTGAGTCTTCTGTTGTTCTACAATAGTCATCTGTTCATCTTTCCGCTTCCTATAAACATTTTCTTCCGCATTTTCCCAGGTTACAAGTCCACTAAGGAACCCCTAGTCAAATTAGGATATGTTCCATTGCCTTCTAGTCATGGTGTAAAATGGCCAAGGGGTCTGCTGATGGGTGTTGTTGGTGTAACCTTGCAGAAGGGGAGGTCCACCCCCATGGTGGCTAGGGTGCGTGTCAAGTTAAGCAAGAAAAGTGTTAGAGCACAGGTGTGGATAAGGTACTGGGGAACTAGTGATTCATGAGCCTACCATGTTCCTTCTGGAGCTGCTACTGGGGCTGGGTTTATCCAGGTGGCTGCTGTGGTGTTGAAGTCTTCTGACTCAGTCAAAGTTTGACCACTGGGGGCATATATCTTCATCTGGAGCCATCCAGTGCCTGAGCAATTTATGACACCTACTGGTGTTGTCAGGAATGTCAGACAGAGTCCTGTGCTGTTAGGCTGAGATAGCCCATGGTCAATGGCTGGAGGAAAATCTAAAGGTGTTTGTCCCTCATCTGGTTGTGAAACTTTAGTGAGGTTAGGTGTACAGGAGTCAGTTCTGGGGGTGAGTCACCCTCCCCCAAATTCTGGTAGGTTGTAGCGTACCCAACACCAGGTGAGGATCTGAACAGAAACAGTGGCTTTGGCCATGGTCATATGGAGATTGCTCTTTGATAAGGAGCCCTGATATCAGACCAGCCAGATAGGGAGCAGTCCAGCCTTCTCAGGATATTATTATAGGGCAAGTTCAGCAAAGTTCAAGAGATTGACACAGTTTGGGGTTTCACATAATCTGGCTAGCGCTATGGGGTATTTGCTAAATTCTTCTAGGCATACGAAGGCCAGGTAGGGGGAGATACATGGGTCTGGCTGGTCCCCGCATTACAAGTGAATAGAATCAAGTGCTAACTGGTTAAGACAGGTCAGTTCAGATAGAATCGTCCCCATAGGTCTCACTGAGTATTCCCATTTTCTGGTGATTGAGATGACTAGAGGAATGGATGGAGCTATGACTGCTCTTTTACCAATGATTGGGATCCTGAAAAGACAGTAATTCTGGCCAGCAGCCTTGGAGGATGGTCCTATAGGTTCTGGTGTATCCTGGGGCCTGACCCTGAGTTCTAGCTGGTTCCTAGACCCTGTACCTGGAGGACTTCCAGATTGGTCAGGGCTTCCAGGGTTGCTGAGTGGGGCAGTGGAAATTTAGTGGATAAAAAGTTAATATGGATCAAAAGTGTGATATGCCAACAAAAAGAGCTAATACAATTTTTTTGCCTGTTTTAAGAGAGACATAGCATCTAGGACTGAGGACAGGGACTGTCTTTTGATTCTTTTTGTATTCCTAGTGCTTAGCACAGTGCCGGGAACATAGTAAGTGCTTAATGAATGTTTATTGATTCATTGATTTATTGACTAGGTGATAGTCCTCTCCCCTGATCAGACCATTTATTTATAAATTATTGTTTTCAGTACTTGGTGCTGCATTTCACTCATGAGTTGGTTTTTCTTCCCCCATGTAAGTGGACAATCTTGCTGGTAGTGTTAATATAAAGCCTTATGTGTGATATGACAACATGCATATGAATATGTATGTAACCAATATGTGTTGTTGCTCTCTACAAGGTCAAATGAGATAATAATTGCAAAATTCTTAGCAGAGTGCACATAGTAAGTGTTATATAAATGTTAACTAGTACTGCTACTACTACTACCACTACTACTACTACTACTACTGCTACTACTACCACCACCACCACCACCACCACCACCACCACTACCACCACCACAACCATCACAACTACTACTACTACTACTACTACTACTACTACTACTACTACTACTACTACTACTACTACTACTACCACTACTACTACTGCAAGGTTTGGAGATTTAGGGTAGGAAGAGAAAATGAAAGCAAGAGTCTTCAGTCTTCTTACTCTTCTTACCACCCCTCCCCCATTCCCCTCTCTCATCAGGAATATGGGCTAGTCAAATTCTTTCTAGACCACAACTTTCTCCTCCTACTGAGGGTCTTAACAGGTGTGACTTTTTCTTGGTCTACACCTCTATTCTGTCCTTCTCTTTATGGAACAGAAGCCTCCCTGAGATACTTAGTCTGAGCCACCTCATTCTGACTAACCAATTGCTTCATTAGCCTAGAAGTGCATGGTCCTAAGTCAAGTGGTTTGTTTATTTTTGCTATTTATTCAAATAAAAAAAAATTAGAACATTCTCGACTCAATCAACTCAACTCCTAGCTTGGGAAGAAAATCCTAGCATTTTGGTCAGAAGCTCAAACCTGTGACCTATTCAGTCCTGAGTATACCAGGCTATATGCCGGTGTCTTCCATTTCTCTCACTGCATATAAATAATAAATAGAGATGAGCCCTGAATCATGTCTATCAGTTATGGGTCATATTTATCTAACTATGACAATAGGAGACAGAAATCAGGAATTAGAAACACCTTAAAGAAGTAGAGAAAGAAAATTGTGTAGAAAGTTCTTATGACAGACAGACATAGGGGAAGGAGTTAAGCCTTCACTACCCTTTTATTGATCCCAAAGAGCAATCAATTCCAGCAAAGTCAGTCCATTTGAGTCACACAGCTCCTCCTTTCCCTCCCTCCTTCCACCAAGTTCCCTATTTTATAGAGTGGAGGCTCGCCTGTTAGCCTGTACCTGAGCTGCTCAGACTCTAGCCTCAGAACTCACAATGCCTACTAAAGGCTTAGAGGCTTCTCTCTTTGCCACAACCACTGTGATGTAGCCACCATCCTAGCAGCTGTCGCAGAACCAGCCTGTTGGTGCTGTACCCATCCTTGTTGCCCCGGTGGTTGCTTCGCAGCCTGTTTGAAGCTTAATTTCACTTTCAGCTGCTCTGGCTAATCAACTTCTCCTGCAGAGTTTTCTTCTTAGATTTTAATACAAGAGGTTTCACTCAGACACGTGGAACTTTTATTCCTGTCATTTGTTTATCTCTGTCCACAAGTATCGGATTAGAATCTATAAATATACATATCATATCTAATATCTATTAACTACTAATATCCATGAAATAAACTAATGAGAACATACTATTTGTGATAATCCTTCTGTTTTTACCATAATGGTGTATTTAACTATTTTTGTAAGTGTGTTTTAAGTCACCAAAATATGTCCAAAATTACCATCAGCCTTGAGAATAAAGGCATAAACAATGGCAAAATTTATCAGTTTCCAGCCTATTTGATGTACTGTGAAGTATTTATTAAAAATGACCAATAGTCAATAAATTAAGTGAAGAAGAGAAATGTCCATCCAGGTACTATTGGTTAGTGATACCCTTTTTTTTTTTGGTTGAGCAATGGGGGTTAAGTGACTTGCCCAGGGTCCACAGCTAGTAAGTGTTATGTGTCTGAGGCCAGATTTAAACTCAGGTCCTCCTGAATACAGGGCCGGTGCTCTATCTACTGCACCACCTAGCTGCCCAGAGATAGCTTTTCAAAAAGCTTTAATGGTTCTCTATTGAGTAAAGTTTAGACTGACATTCAAAGTCCTCCATAATCTAATGCTACCTTCCCTTTTGTGGAGAACAATTATGTATCATTGTATTGTACCACTGATCTTGAAATTGGTTCAGAAAACTCCAATGCTGTAATATTTATATGTGGTAGTCATTTGCTATGTACCTTGAATTTTGCTTTTCTGCTTGAGTTTCTGATGAATTAACTTTTCTTATTTATTGGCTTTCCCTCTAGAGGTAGAGAAGGCATGTGCCATTTTTGTGGAGCTAATGTCTCGCCCCTTTCAGCAGATGTCTGTGTAAAACCAGCTGGAAAGAATTTCATCTTCAAACTATGATAAATCTCTAGGCCCAGAATCACAGTTTCCATTAAGATCACCCTGTAGGACCAAGCTATATTAAGTAACAAACAACTTCCTCTCCACACTGCTCCTTCTCAGTCTCCTTTGATGGATATTCATCCAGGCCATGCCCACTAACTTTGAGTGATTGCTAAGGCTCTGTCCGGGGCCCTTTTCTCCATCTATACTGTCTCTTGGTGATTTCATCAATCCTCATGGATCCAATCTCTATGTAGAAGATTCTCAGATCCATTTGTCTAGCCTTAACTTTTCTCTTGATCTTCAGTCCCACATTTCCAACTATTTATTGGACATCTTAAACTGGATTTTCTATAGATACCTCAAACTCAACATATAGGCATACCTCAGAGATTTTGCGCACTTCGTTCCAGACCATTACAATAAAGTAAGTCACATTCAGTTTTTGGTTTCCCAATGCATATAAAAGTGATGTTTACACTATATTGTAGTCTATTAAGTATGTAATAGTATTACATCTTAAAAAACAATTATGTACCTTAATTTAAAAATACTTTATTGATAAAAAATACTAATCATCACTTGAGCCTTTAGGGAGTCATGATCTTTTTTTGCTGGTGGAGGGTCTTGCCTCGATGTTGATGGCTACTGACCGATTAAGGTGGTGCTTGCTGAAGGTTGGGGTAATGGGCAATTTCTTAAAATAAGACAATAAAGTTTGCCACATTGATTGACTTTTCCTTTCACTTGAACACTTAGAAGCTATTGTAGGGTTATTAATTGGTCTAATTTTAATATTATTGTGTCTCAGAGAATAGAGACACCCAAGGAAAGAGAGGCAGATGGGAATGGCAGTGAAGCAGTCAGAACACACACAACATATATTAAGTTTGTCATCCTATATGGACACAGTTTGTGGTACCCTGAACAATTACAATAGTAACATGAAAGATCACTAATCACAGATTACCATAACAGACGTAATAATAATGAAAAAATCTGAAATATTGTGAGAATTACCAAAATGTGACATAGAGACATGATGTGAGCACATGCTGTTGCAAAAATGGTGTGGATAGATTTGCTCGATGCAAGGTTTCCACAGATCTTCAATTTGTAAAAAAAGAACCCTGCAATATCTGCAAAGCTCAATAAAGCACAATAAAACGAGATATGTCTGCATACAAAACTAAACTCAATGTCTTTCCCCCAAAACTCTCCCCTCTTCTAAACTCTCCTATTACTGTCAAAGGTTCTAGCTTCCTTTCAGTCACCTAAGCTCCTGACTTAGATGCCATCCTCAACTCCTTACTCTCTATTACCCCCCATATTCAATCTATTGACAAGTGTTATTGATCGTACTGTTACAGCATTTCTCATATATGTCCTCTTTTCTCCTCTGATATTGCCACTACCCTAGTACAGGCCCTCATCACTTCACACCTTTATTGTTGCCATAGTATTCTGGTTGGTTTTCCTTTCTCAAGTCTCTCCCCACTCTACCCTGTCCTCCACTCAGTTGTTAAATTGATCTTCCTAAGGTGCAAGTCTGACCATGTCACTCCTCACCTTCCCCACCTTCCCCTCCAATTTAATGAACTCCAGTGGCTCCTTATTTCCTCTAAGATTACATTAAAAATTCTACATTTTGGCTGTACATTCCAGTGTCCCTGCCCTCCTTGCTGTTCCTCATATACAACATTCCATCTCTCAAGTCCAGGCATTTTTACTGGCTGTCCTTCATGCCTTGAAATGTCTCCTTCCTCATCTCTGTCTCCTGGCTTCCCTGGCTTTCTTCAAACCTCAAATAAAGTCTCATCTTCTGCAAGAAGCCTTCCCAGTCCTGTTTAATCACAAAGCCTTCTCTTTGAGATTTTCTTCAGTTTACCCCACACATATCTTGTTTATACATATTTATTTGCATATTTTTGTAAAACATATCAAATAATAATAAAAGCAATATGTGATTGCAAGGAAAATATCACCAAGAAAGTGTACATAGACTCTATATGTCTGATTACTGGCCAGTTTGAATTAAAAATGACAATTTAAACATAAACTCATTTTTGGCACTCATGAATGAGGAGTGATAAAAGTGATAGCTGTCTTCAAGTTTACAAAGTACTTCAAAGTTGATAGGAGATTAGACTTGTTTACTGCTCCCAGAGGGCAGAAATAGGAGTTATAGGGAAGAGTTGCAGAGAGGGCCGATTTAGGTTCAATGTTAGGGAAACTTTCCTAAGAAATAGAGCAATTATGAATTGGAATGCACTGCCTTGGGAGGGAGTTGGTTGTCCCTCATTTTCAAGGGAAGACTGGATTACCAGTTGTTGGGAAGGTCAGAAGGAGGATTCTTGGTTAGATATGAGTTGGACTGGATGGAATCTGAGGTCCCTATAAAATCTAAATTTGTGATTCTTTGTTTCTGGCTCAGCTACTTGTCTACCAGTGTGGTTTTAGGTAAGGTAGTTAATTTGTCTGCTCCTCAGTTTCTTTATTTCTAAAATGAAGGAGTTGGACTCATGTTTGAAGGTTCTTAAAGCCACTACCTTGTGATGTCATGTTTCATGTTTAAAGATCACAATAAGGTGCAATGAGAGCCAGCACAATGTGGTGGATAAAAGCTGATCTCAGAGTCAGAATGACTTGAGATTATGTCCAGCCTCTGGCACAGACTGGCCTTGTGACCCTGAATGAGTTGCTTAACCTTTCAGTATCTAAGACAGTAAGCTGTAGAATGTTTGCAGATCTGAATTGGGAAAACAGAGTTTCCTTGCTGAGAAGCTATCAATGTTACAAAAATCACCAGTCCAGAAAAAAAAGAGAAAAATAGTGGGAAAAAAAAGGCTGGAAAAGGGCTCAAAATGTCTTCAGAAAATAGTGGTTTTTCTGTCTAGTCTATGGTAAACATAAAGTTCATCTTTCTTTGGCTGAAGTTTTATTTCATTTGACTTATTGCTCATTGATAGGGAATTTCTTAGGAAAATACCTAAAAAAAAATGGAAAACTCCATTCATCAAAGAATGCTTTGGCATGCCCAAATATTTAAGACCAATTTCTTGAGAAGAACATGATAAGAACTGGATCTGTGATTTCGCTGACATAGGGAACTCCCAAATGGAGAAAGTCTCTTTATTAATTCTAGTTGGCACTTTTCTCTGCAACTTATAGTCTTAGAGAGTCGTCTAGATCTCTGAGAGGTTAAGTGATTTGTCCAAGGTCACACAATCATTAAATGGCTAAGGCAGGACTTGACCCCAGATCTTTGGGGCTCTGAGGCCAGCTTTCTATTCATTATGCAACACAGTTTTTCAGAACAACACACTTTTTTTTTCTTTTTCTAGCCCTTAGTCCTAAACTGCAAGGAGTAGGTTAATTTTGCTTCCCACCCTCTCAGATACTGTATTAAAAGCTATAGACCATGGTGAGAGATTTTCCCATTTCAGAATGTGGAAAAACTACATTCTTACCTCAGAGACTTCCAAATTCAACTTGTCTGAGAAAGAGAAATCAAGATAACATCACCCAAACATATTCATTTAAGGTTTCCAAGGTAAAGTTGTACTTACAGGACTATTCCAAAGAGTCTACCCAGGGCTTCAGGTCTGCATTTTCTTCTACTTACTGAGAAAACAGCCTTTGGAAATCAGAGTGAGCCCAGTCAATATTTACCAGGTCATTTCCTGGAACTAATTTTCAGCTAATGCTAACAGCAAACAGAGAAATCTTTAAAAAAAAAACAACAACAAAAAACCAACCCCCTCCCTCCAACCCCCAAGCAAACAAACATTCAAATGATGAACAAAAAGTAAGAACAACTCTTCTCTTTTTTTTTTTACTATTCTTTATGTAGGAATGTATGGGCAGCAACATTCCAAGGGAATGAAATACAGGTCCTGTTCAGATTTGGCTCACAGAATAGTTATTCCAGGTATGTTTTAGGTCAGTGCTTTTAGAAAGCTTAAAAGATCAGCTATAGTTTGAACTAGTTCACTAGAATGTTCTGAAAACATTTCAATTCTAGTCACTGCATAAATTGTTCTCCTGGTTCTGCTCACTCTGTATCAGTTTATTTAAATCTTTCCAGGGTTCTCTGATTCTGTTCCTGTTTTTCAGGGCACAATACTATTCTTTAATATTCATATACAGTAATTTGCTCATAAAATCCAATTGACAGGCCCTCACTATGTAGTTCTTTGCCATAACAAAAAGTGCTGTTATTAACATTTTTGTTCATTTGGGCCCTTTCCCTTTATCTTTGACTTCTTTGGAGTTTATACCTGTGGGAGCAGGTAGGTGGCAAAGTGGATAAAGCACCAGGCCTGGAGTCAGGAAGACCTGAATTCAAATCC